TAATTTCCAATGATTTCATTTCACACTTTTTTGTCATTCTTTCATACATCACTTTAGCTATGGTGAGGTATTCCCCTCTCATGAGTAGTTGTAAAAATGCTGCTTATATGGAGATATCGTGAACATAAGATATGAAATAATTAATGGATATGGGTGCATGTGTGGTGTGTAGTCCTTGAAATGCATGGCACACTGCCAGTTGTTACATGTCCTTTATCATCTGTTTAAGACCGGCCATGTGACGTTGGGAATGACTAAACCATCTTAGCTTTCAGAATACTTTTGACAAGTGGCATTTCTTCAGGTCCATCACATACTGTACACTGCACTGACATTTCTTTGTGCAACGATAAGCACCATGGCTATAAATAAGGGAATAAATATGTGCTTGGCCGGTGTGTGCTTCAGACTAGCCTAGGAGAACAGACAGGACTAATGCTTGAGCCACGGGCAAGGGTATTCATTCTCCTGAGATGGTCTTTAACGTTAGTGTAAGACCTACCAATCACATCTTTATTCCCAGGTCATTTTCCTGATCATCCTTGTCCATTTGATGTTGTATTTCTTGTGCATGTAGTCAAGAAGAATCTCCTTTTGTGGCCTTGGCGTATGTGTGGTGAAGTTCTGCATGCTGCAGCACACACCGACTCTTGACCAATGGGAATGGATTAAATTGTTTCGTATCCAGGTGCTAGCACATGTATACGCAGCGGGCATTATCAAATCACAGCGGACATTATTAAAGGAATAAATATGTGCTTGGCCAGCTCAAGAGAATGGACGCAACTAATGCCTGAGTCACAGGCGAGGGCATTGTCAGCGTTCAATCTCCTAAGCCGGTCTTAAACGTTAGGTTGAGACTGGCCAAGCACATATTTATTCCCATTCATAAATACCTTTCTAGTCAGAGAGTCAAAAGAAGGCAGTATCTGATGGATTTCCAACAGTTTTGTTCCAGAATTTTACTTTCATGTTCCCGAGCATCCCTGTCCATTTTATGGTACGTTCCTTGTCCAAGTGTCCAAAAGAATTTCCTTATATGGACTTGGTACGTACGGGGTGAGCTGCATTCACACAGACTCTGGACCAATTGGGATTGATTAAACTGTCTCATATCCAAGTGCCAGGACATGATTTACACAGTGGGCATGCCACTTTTCGGCAGGCATTATCAAATGTTAATACTGGGTCAAGTTGCAGGTTGTTGAATCGGGAGGCTGTCTGAGGTAGTTAGGAATAAATGTTAATGCAGGGTCACATGGTACGTTGTTGAATAGGGAAACTGTCTGAGGTTGTGAATGGATACTGATTGCACGTTTGAAATTTGTCAGTCATTCATGGGTACTAAAACTGCAGAGTGCCATGTACAAGTGATATTTCCATTGTAAGTTGTAGGGGATTCATCAGGGCCCTCTCGCATTCATTTTTTTTTCTGGGGGAGGAGAAATGACATATATTCCTCATTGCCTCTTTCTTCGTGTGCAGTTGACTTCAATAACTTTAAAATAGAAATTCTCACTAAAAATATATGCCACATTGATATTTTGGCTCATGCACTTCAGTTTTGGGCACCCCTGTCATAAATTCTGGGTGCTCATTTTTGTTTGCTAATGAGCATCCATTTCTCACCATCATGCACTGCTGAAACTTTGAAAACTTCACCTGAAAATTTATTAGCTGGTAATAAGACCTTATTCACAGGGAAACCAATTCTGATCTTATTCCCTGGATCTCTGATACTCAGTGCAATCTGGTAAATAGGATGGTGCAAGACTATGTTGGATTTCAAACCTCACTTCATTTTTTCATAATGTGGCTTAAAACATTATGACAACTTGTCACAAATTACTGAAAATGTACAAGTGGCATTAATTTGTCATGGGCTTTTATGTCATTGCTGTTATTGTTACTCTAAGGTTCCAAAAATTAAAAATTAACATTATTTTCCATTCAAGATGGTAGACACATGAATGCAGTTTATCAAGCCAGCTGACAATTTTTTTTCTTCAAACACTAAAAATGGAGACAGACTTTGCTCTGCCTGTTCCTTGACCTTCGGGGGAATGGTTCACCAAAGCCCAATATTAACCTTTTTGCATTAGCAAGTGTACAACAATAGCTTCTACTGTCTATTCTTTTATTCAGTGTTTAAATTGCTCACACTCTTTGGTAATTGACAAATTATAAACCACTCAAAGGTTCCTTTTTAGAAAAGAGAAGAGAAGCCACCAGCGCTGGAGGGGAGGGAGCAACTCAAATCCCTGACCCCCTTCCTTTATCCAACAACACAGTTGAACACTTAAGCTCCACGACTACAGCTCCATTGGGCAAACTTGTACATGCTTGTACCAAACTGCACTGTAGTTTAGCCCGGGCTCCATGTTTAAATGACTTGTAAACTTAATAGACGATTGGCCCTGTGATGTTTTGCGTGGCAAACAGTCAGCCTCATTTCATCTGCTTGTAATAGGGTAAAATGTCCAAGCTTTGAGGTGCACATATTTTTTTTTCGAAGGAGCACCGAAAGTAAAGGAATTGTGGCTTATACAAAGGTTGTGTACAGTTTGTAATTCCAAATGGGAATTCATGTGGAGCGGATGTGCCTTTGGCTTTAAATCATCTTCCCCAGAGCATTGCATCTGCCTCAGTTGACCAGCAAAGTCATGTCATCTTACTTTTTTACACTAATTAGTGTTTGCGGTAGTAATCACCATAACGTCTTTGCTTTATTTGCACATGTGGAAAAAGTCCACAAAACAAAAGTTTTTACAAAAACCTGCTCTTAGATATATCATCACTGTTTCCATAAAATGATCAGTACCTCACAGTATGTGCTAAATGTTGAAATCTCGTTGTGATCATGAAGGCATTTGAACATTAATAGGGTATTAAGTTTTGTGATATTGGCAATGGTGTTGATATGGCATCAGCGAGCTACATGTGTACATATACAGTGTATACCCAAAGGCATGATTGGTTTACAGTGTTTATTGGATCTCGTCAGAATTTATGCGATGGACTTGTGATGGAGTGGATTACACACTGCAATTAGGTATTTGTAAACTGCTATTACATATTAATATAGTTTATTGTGATGTTTTTCTCTTTCTGTGCTTGAAGATCAGTGGCAGAGCATCAGTGGTGAGTAATCCCAAAGAGCATTTACAATTTGCTTCTTCACTCGGTGCACTTTGTGTCTGTTTGGAAATCAGAGAAAAGAGACCAGATTTAAGAAAACTGAACAGTGGAAAAATTCTCCTGTATCTTCTATTACATGTATTGTATATACACATTTTTGGCAGGGAAATGAATTTCTGAAATGGTGGTTGATGTAGGGACATTCAGGCAGGAATTTTTTTCCGGATTTATCCAGTTGAGACAAACACATATTTAGGATTTGCAGGGGAATATTTCACACTCTTAAAATTAAGTAAATTGATCTGTAGAAAGGTTGACTGTTCCATATTCTATCCTTTCCTCATTTTTCTTACCACCGCACTCATAAACTTTAATTTTGTTTCTTTGCCATTTTATGAGGTGATTTCGGATGTCACCAGTCCCTTGTCAACACAGCACTTTTTACAATACTGGCTGAAAATTTGCACTCCTGGTGCCCTCCATTGCAAAAAAATATCAGGAAATCAACATTCTTGTGAGAATTTTCTGCTCACCCTCCCAAAACTTATCCAATGATGTACTCTTGGCCTGGATCTTTGGTAGATGAAGTAAAGGTCATTAAGTCTCTTTTTTCATTGAATACAGGGTATATCTGACAGGATACTGGATATCCTAACCATGGTTGGTTGCATTGTGTCCATATTGGCCCTACTCACAGCTTTGGCGTTTTTCATTTTCTTCAAGTAAGTTGATTCCATCGAAAGATGGCTACAACACTTCCTCTGTTACATAGAACCTTTCGCTGGATGGAATAAATCACCATCTGAAATTTGTCCGAATCTTTAAGTGAAAACTTTAAATTCTAAATATGGATGATACCAATGGGGGAGGGGGCACATTTCATGTAAATAATGCTGCTCATACAAGTCACCTTGCGCCTGCATGTTACCTCCCTGCTGAGGAGATTTTGCAGTATACTAATAGAACCTTCCATAACCACAATTTGCTGTCTCTACTCCTGGGGTCCTCAAACCAAGGGAACTCTCCAGCCTTTCCATGTAATCTGCAGGTCACAAGTTTTACTACAGTGGTGTATCCAGCGGGGAGGATGGATTTTTGAATAAGGCTTTTGATATTTTCTCTCCCCAAACATGATGCTGAATAAGTCTGAAGTTGCATTTGCTTTTAAATTCCCCCCTCCCCACCCGACACCAAAAGCTGGATACGCCGCTCTCTAGTTGGCATTAACAAAAAGGGACAGAATTACAACAGCCAACTCAAAATTGTGGATTAATAAAGTGCTCGTTTATCCGTCGATCAATTCCTTTTCCTCTACACAACAGACACAGCACGTTGGACACGGAGCGTATTCTCATTCACTGTAATCTGATGGGAACACTTCTAGTGGCCATGGTGGTCTTCATGATCAGTACTTACTTCTCCGGAGGAACGGTGAGAAACTTACTGCAAAAAACTTCTTGATCCTTAGTTTTCATGGTAGCTTGACACCATTCTCTAAGCCTGTATAGAGGTTTTTCATGTGACGCCAACATGACAGGCAAAGACACATCAGGAAACGCACCACATCTGTGGAGTCACGTGCATTTTCAAATCTATGTATTTCTCTTGGCAATTTCATGTACGCCAGAATGTTGAGAGACTTCAAAGGTGCATGTTTCCCTACACATCTGTGTAAGTTGAATGCAGACAATCAAAAATCATGTGACTGAAAATCCTCTGTAATTGTGGCAAGAAATTTCGGTCATGCTCTGATGGAGATACATGCAAATGAAGGACTAGCGAAGTACTGCAAAGATTGGAGGTTATCCTGTTTCATGACTTAAAACAGTCTTTCTCATTGAAAAGTGTTGATTTCAATTTAAGTGCCAATTTAGTGATCCATTCACTGGAAGTTATTACCATTTTTAGGGAAAGTTGACACATTGTGTACATGTATTGTTAAAAGTTTCATTAATAAAATTTCCACGGAGCTTGAACTAGAAACGAAATTCACAGATGTCACCATGCAGAGTGTGGTTACTTTGTAAACCTAGATACCGTGCAAGATATTTGCGGGGCTGCTGCACTATCTTTACCTGGCCGTGTTCTGTTGGATGTTGGTGGAGAGTGTTCATCTGTATCGCCTCATTGTGACAGTTTACGGTAGCGAGAGACAAATGGCCAAACTGTACTGTGCCATAGGATGGGGTTAGCAATTTTTCTTTCTCACCTCAAGC